TAATAATGATAAAGATAATAATACTGATAATAATAATAATGATAATCATAATCATGATATATACAAATGATATTAATACTATTGGTAATGCTGATGACAATGATGATAATGATGATAATGTGAATTATAACAATTATAACGATAATGATTGAGAGTGATAATGATGATAATGATAATGATAGTATAAATGATACTCTGTAGTAGTAATAGTAGCAGTAGTAATGACGATAAGAATAGTAATAATGAAAATAATAATAATAATGATGATAACGATATAATAATATAATTGATAATGATAATAATAAAATAATTAATAATATTAATAATAATAATAATAATAATAATAATAATAATAATAATAATAATAATAATAATAATAATAATAATAATAATAATAATAATAATAATAACAACAACAATAATAATGATACTTACGATGATATTTATAATACTAATAATGACAATTATAATGATAACAATAACAATGATAATAACAGTAATGATAATAATGACAATGATGATAATAACGATAACAAATTGATGGTAATAATGGCTAGTGAGAATGAGGATAATAATAATAACCAATAATGATAATAGTAATAACGACAACAACAATAATGATAATAGTAATAACAGCAACAACAACAATAATACAAATATCTGTACATTAATATTATCTCATCTTATTTTTCCTCTTACGGAAGTCTTTAGCGTGCTTATTTTCAACACCAACAGGAAAGAAAAGACAAAAAGAAAGAAAGAAAGAAAAAAAAATCAAGAACTTTTCCCAGCATTCTTGGAAACGCGATGACCTGCCTGTTTCCGACGATTCTCCGAAAATTCCTTGTACTTGGCGCCAGTGTTTCTTTGGCGCCGAAGAAGGCTGATACGGATCGAGGTAGTGTTGAAAAAGAAAGGCAATTTTCGGATTTTTTTTCGTTCTTTTTTTATGTTCTATTTGTTTCCGTTAGTTTTTTTCATGTTCTTTTTGTTTGTTGGTTGTTATTCCTTTGTATTTTTCTTTTTTGTTATTCTTTTTTATGTTTTTTTTTTGTTTGTCGGTTGTTATTTGTTTTCGTATTTTTCTTTTTATTTCTCCCCTTTCATTCTCCTCCTCTCTCCGCTTCTGTCTCTCTTTCCTTTCTACTTCAAAATTTCTCCTCTTCATCTACTCCCCCCACTCCTTTTTCCACCAACCACCACCTCCTTCTTCCCGTTACCATAGGCCTAAATACCTATAAACCACGAACACCATTCATACCAAGAAACATTACCACACATCGAAAGCACACGCCCATGCTCCTCCCCCCTTCCCCCCCACCCTCCCCTCCATCCCCTACCGCCGCTTGTGCTTGCGTGAATTCTCCTCATTATCTCATTCTTCCCTTTACGTCGTCCTCCTTTGGTCTCTCCGGGCGATTCTTATCTCACGTGACGCCAGGAGGAGGAGGAGGAGGGTAGGAGGAGGAGGAGGAGGGTAGGGAGGAGGAAGAGGGTAAGGAGGAAGAGAGGGTAGAGAGGAGGGAGGAAGGGGAGGAGGTCGTTTTGCGTCACCCCCTTTGCGTGTTACTTGGTGCTTGCGGGAGAGGAGGAGGAGGAAGAGAGGGGAGGGAGAGGGATGGAGGGAGAGGAGAGGAGGAGAGGAGGGAGGAGGGAGGAGGGAGGAGGAGGGAGGAGGAGGGAGGAGAGGAATGAGGAGGAGGGAGGTGGGGAGGAGGAGGAGAGGAGGAGGAGGAGGGAGGGAGGAGGGAGGAGGAGGTGGAGTGGAGGTGGTGGAGGAGAAGGAGAAAAGAGAGAAGAAATATAATGATAATAATAATAATAATAATAATAATAATAATGATAATAATAATAATAATAGTAATAATAATAATAATAATAATAAAAATAAGGAGGAGGAGGAGAGAAGGGAGGAGGGGAAGGGAGGAGGAAGAGGAGAAGGAGAGGAGGAGAAGACAAGGACAAGGAGGTGGAAGTAAAGAGGAGGACAGTGAGAAGGAAGGCGAGAAAAGAGAGTTAAATAATAGGGAAGAAAAAGAACAGTTGAAAAAAATATAAATCGAGAATGAAGAAGGATTTGACAGAATTTACAACTAGTAAGTGCCTGCAAAAACGTACATATTGTAAGCCAAAGCTCTCGTTATATCAGTATGTCGGTGTGACTTATCCGTATCGCTCTTGTGCTTAAAGATACCTATTTCAGGCTAACTGTAGTCAAACACAAGTATCCACAGAATTCTTTGATCGACGTGACTGATGTAAAATGCTCTCAATGATTAACCAGTCCCGGGATCATCCCCGCCTGAAAAGGTCCAAGTCGAAATTTTCCGATTTTCGAAAACTCACTTTTAATATGCACTATACGCATCATGTGGTTAACGAGAACGACAAAACTATGTCGCATTTTCTCTCATGCCGCGCAACATGGAGAGTATGAAAGCCTTTGGTCATATTCTTTGAAGCACCACATCTTTGTCTTAACAGGTTTCAAGGCGGTTTT